GTAACAAATCATCCCTAATGTAATCGATGTCTCAGATTATGGTAATATAATATTGTAACATGCATTAGTATTTAAATAATCAATGTGATTTTAAATTATTAATTAAATATTTGAAAAAGAAATCAGAAAACTTTATACTGAAAAATAATTCCATTTTTATTCTAAGAAATTCTTGCTAAAATTTTGCTAATTTTGTATAATAAAATAGTAAATAATAAATTGTAAGAATAATTAATATAATTTTTCTTTAGGAAGTTAAATTTTGTACAACTTTCATATGAAACATTTTATCGTATCTCTAATAATTTGTTCTAAATAATTAAATAACCATAAAAAAATCTTTTTTGGGAGAAAAATTTTTTTTTACAGTTTTATTAATTTTTTTTGGGGAATAATGAACTTACGGAAAATTTGATAATTCTATTTTTTATGCAAAATTTAATGAACAATAATTAAGTTGGTATACGTTTTTACGCTACAGTCATCAGGTTTGAAGTTAATTAAAAAAAACTAAAAAACTACCCTTTTTGTCAATTTGTAACCCTTTACAGGCACGTGAAGGGGGTGGTTTATCATGATGAAATTTTACCCAAATTACTTTCTCATCATATTGAACAATATGGGGGGGTGAGATATATGTATTTTGAATGTTGAAAAATTAGGACCACCCTAATATATATATATATATATATATAATATCGATACGCGTGTACGGCTACGATAACTAAAAATAAATTTTTATAGGAATAGTGTTGCCGTCTTTTGGTGAGCGAGGAGTGGGGTGGGGTGAATGCGTTATGACAGTCTAGTCTCAAGTCAATAGACGACGGTATATGCGATAAGGCGTAGCGCTTGGAGAGTTACAAACATACATATATACATACATACAGGTGAAACTAATATAAGTGTGTTAATAGGGTTCCCATTTAAGAAAATTATAAATAAGGGTTTTTATCCTTGAAGGGACGAAAAAAAAATAATAGTTTGATTACATATTATTGTAGAGTTTTTTGAACTTGATATTTTTTCTCTATAATAAAGTTTAAAATTCTCAATATTTTCTGAGAAAATGAGTGTCTTACCAGATTTCGATCATCTTGTGTGTATATATATATACAGGGTGATTTTTTTATCATAACCCACTCAATTACTTGCAGAATAATAATAATTTAAACATTTTTTTTTTTCATTATCTTTAGTTACACATTATTCTTGAATTTTTAACTATGTAATACTTTTTAAGTTCATCCCTTATGCCTTGGAAGGGGGTCAACTTTGTTTTTTTAAATGGTAACACATATTTTTAATTTAATAAAATGTTTGAGTTTTTAATTTAATAGTAAATGGCATTTGAATTTTTAATATAACTTTATTAGCTTATTAGATATAAACATTTAAAGTTTCAAAATTTTGAGTTAATATACATGTATAATACACATGGGATTGTAAATACAGGTAGCTAATTGGATTTTTATGACATTGCTGTCTCAGTCACGGATTGTTTATTATCAATTATGATTATCAATAGATATACTTTCTGTATTGTCAGTTAGTGTATTGATAAACTCATAACAATGTGCCTTACTATAATTGATAATAACAATGCTGTGTACCTGCTAATATCGATGTTATAAAAAACCAATTAGCAACCTATATTTGTAATCCCTTGTGTATTATACCTGTATATTAATTCAAAAATTTGAAACTTTAAATGATTATATCTAATAAACGAATTAAGTTATATTAAAAATTCAAATGCCATTTACTATTAAATTAAAAACTCAAACATTTTATTAAATTAAAAATATGTGTTACCATTTAAAAAAACAAAGTTGACACCCTTACAAGGCATAAGGGATGAACTTAAAAAGTATTACATAGTTAAAAATTCAAGAATAATGTGTAACTAAAGATAATGAAAAAAAAAAATGTTTAAATTATTATTATTCTGCAAGTAATTGAGTGGGTTATGATAAAAAAATCACCCTGTATATATATATTAATGAATACGTGTTTTTATCTATCACAAAATATGTAAATAAATAAATACTTCATCAAAAAATAATTATATCATAATTGATACAATCGATGTTGCGATTATAATGTTACTATATTTTTCACTTCAGTTAAAGCACTCACTCAAATGCGCATAATTTTCATCAAAAAAATTATAAACCTATAACTAATACTTATAGTGTAGAGATTTTTATAATATAAATATTTGTGTTATTTCTACCCTTCTTTGATGAGCATAGACAAAATAGTTCAAGCCAGTGGCGTATTAAAGGTTTCAGCGCCTCAGAACAGTTAGTTCTATAAATTTTTGAAAAAAAGTAACGAAAAATATTCACTGGTTTAAAAGTTATAAGATTTGTCAGAACTTAGTAGAACATTCTGAATTTTATGATTAATTTAACTAAATAAAGCCATGGTTATCAACTAAATACATTAATTTTTATTATGAAATACAGGTTATTACTTATTGTATTTTTGAAAGCATAGTATTGAGATACCATAAACTCACTCTCACGGGACTGCTATATTTTTCATGAAAATAAAGAAATAAAAAATGGTTGACAAATTGCTCCGAGTACTTTATTTTAAGGAGCCTTATTTCTAATATAATAATGCTGTCATTTATTAGTTTGAATATAACTAGGCTACGTATTTTATCAATAATTGAATTTTCTAATGAATGAATGATAAATTTACTATACTTGAATAACACATTTTTATATTGATTCGTTGAGTAAAAGTAATTTCTCTTGGCAATATTCAAAATTTTACTTATTTCTTGTTAATTTCTTTATAAAAAAAAACCCAGCACAGGGGGGTCGCGGCACAGCGGTGACGTGGCAAAGTTGAATCAAGTATAATGATATCTGACAGTGATTAAAATCACTATAAAAAAGCCCAGTACAGGGGGATCGCGGCACAGTGGTGACGTGGCATAGTTGGATCAAGTATTATGATATCTGACAGTGATTAAAATCACTATAAAAAAAAACGCTTCGATGCAAATCTTTAGATAGTGTTTAATTTTAAAAAATTGGTGGATTATACTATATTAGTTATATATATTAGTTCGTTATTAATACCCTGATTCAGATAAAGTATGTCGAATGAAAAAGGGATTATTAAAAAATATTATTTCTCATAAAAAAATTATGTTAATCCATACACTTTTCAATAAGTTATATCATTATAAAGTTAAAAATGTAAAAAATAAAATCGAGAATTTTCACACAATAATAGCATTCGGTAGCTATTTTCATGGTGAAGACAAAATAAAGTCCGAAATTTTATTTTTGCATAATAAAGTACATTACATCAGCTTTCATTTAAGATATATATAAAAGTGTCAGACTTTCCGGAACACTTTAAAAAATTAAGTTGAAAAAGTAAATTTTTTGTGAAAAAGTTGTCATTTTGAATCCCCCCCTGTAGGCAGGAAAAAGTCAGATTTATAAAAAAATATACCAACTGATAGGTAAAGACATCATGCATTTATAAAAAAAAAATTATATTGATCCATACATTTTTTAAAATGATATAGCATTATAAAGTTAAAATATAAAAAAGAATTTTTTTACAAAAATCGTATTTTTTTTATAAACTTTGATGTCTGTTTTCACCATGAAGATAAAAGAAAGTCCGAAATTTTTTTTTTGCATAGTAAAGTATATTACATTAGCTCTAATTTAAGATATATATAAAAGTGTCAGACTTTCCGGAACACTTTCAACAGTTAAGTTGAAAAAGTTCTACTTTCTACATGCATTTTTTAGATTTGAACCCCCCTCGTACTGTAAAAACAGTATGTCAAATGAAAGATATATAAAGATATATAGTAGTATATAAATACTACTTTTCATAAAAAAATTGTATTGATCCATACATTTTTCAAAAAGTTATAGCATAATAAAATTAAAAATGTAAAATACAAAATCGAAAATTTTCATACAAAAATAGCATTCGGTAGCCATTTTCACTATGAAGATAAAGTAAAGTCCAAAATTTTTTTTTTCCATGATAAAGTATATTACATTAGATTTAATTTAAGATATATATAAAAGTGCCAGACCTTCTGGAACATTTTCAAAAGTTAAGTTGAAAAAGTTAATTTTTTGTGAAAAAAAATGTAATTTTAAATTTCCCCCTGTGGACAGATAAATGGTCAAATTTACAAAAAAAATATACCAAATGAAAAGTAATGATATCATGCATCTATATAAAAAAGAATTATATTGATTTGGTTATTTTTGAAAAAGTTATGGCAATTTAAGTAAAAAAAATTGAAAAAATTTCGAAAATTAGCGATTTTTAAATTTGTAATTTTTTTGGAGGTTTCCACCATTTACGTGGAACGAGGGAATTTTTTTCAATTTTTGAGGGTAATATCTTCGACTAAATACAATTTGTGATCTTTTGACGTATCATTGAAAGAAATCGGTTCGGTTAGAGCTGAGAAAAAGTGGTAATAGGCACAAAAAAAAAATAAATAAATAAAAAAATAAACACATCTTAGTAAAACCAATACCTTCTCATCTTCGTATTGAACCTAAAAGTAATTCATATACATATAAAACCCTTATTTCAGATGCTTGTGACTAAAAAGTTATCTTGTAATTGCCATTGTCAATTACATTAATAATATATTAAGAGTGTCAAAATATTATAAACGAGGAGAATTCGGTAATTTTTTATAGAAGATTGTTGAGAATTTAACTATCAACGATACTTATAAATTTTGAAATATTCTACACATAGTCTATATAATAATAAAACAATATATTGAGTTGTTAAAAATTATAATAAATCATATAATATATGTTAATAATAATAATGAAATGATAAGAAAACTGGAATAAAATACTAATAGATGAACCGTTTGCCAAGGATTCTGTAAAGGAACGCTAGTGTCGGAAAGTCTGAGCCTGCGCATTTCATTAGTCTCCCTTCAGAGCAAAGGGATGATTGTCGCTTATGTAGTGTTCCCAGATCGTCTATATTGTGACGTCGTCGGTCGGTTATAGTATTTCGCGTATATAACAAATCTTATATATTTTTTTAATAAATATTGTTCGGATTGTATATATTATTAGCTTCTGGTCATTTGGATTATATTATTGTTATTTTTTTTTGACCCTTTTGCAAACGGGAAGGGGTTAAAAATAAGACAATGTGTATACTTTAGGCCTCTTTCAAGCTCAGTGATTTATTTTGCCGGCTGGACATCGAACGAGGTCGTGGCTCACCTGAAGAGTAGACGGTGAGTTTATACATAAAACTGTTTTCTTAACGTTATGCGAGTCTTTTAAAGAAATAATGACGTAAAAAACTCGACTTTTTAATTTGCAATGTACTTAAATTCTCTGGAAACCTTGAAATAAAAAAATGTACACATAGACTCAGTAAGGCCGGCTTTAATAATCCAAGTTTTACCCCGCGAACTACATCTGATCGAAGAGAGCTTATATAATTCTCTGAGGGGACGATATACGATACAAATTTGTAATTTTCGATAGCACAACGATAATGGTTTAACTACAATATTACATTGAATAATAAAATTAGCTTCACAGGCACGTTAATGATTATACTACAATAAAATTTCAATACCAAATTCTCAATATCCCTTTTTAAATTTTGTTGTGTTATCAACACAAACAGGTGATTTGTTATGGTGTTAAAATACATTTTATGTAATCATTAATATATACATGAAAAAAATAAAACCGAAAATTATTTTCTGTTAAATCAATAAAACATTTGTTTATTAATTTTTTTATTCCTCTGGCGAAATTGTTGTTAAATCGACAAAAAATATTGTTGGTTCTAAATTAACAATAACTGTTAATTTTACTAAGGTTTTTTTTTTTAATGCAATAACTTAAAACAATTAAATCTAAGACTCTGTACCATTAACTATATACATTTTAAAGTATTAAAACTTTTTTACCCACTATACATAAAATCAATAATATATTTTTAATTGAGTTCAATGTTAAATGATTTTTTTTTTGTTGATTTGAAAATGTAATTTTTGCATTTCGACATTAAAATTATTTTTCTCGTTTACAATTGTGTTCTTCTTCTTCCTCGCCTTAATATCAACTACTTGGGGTCGGCCACCCTTATTCTAAACTTCCATTTGACACGATCTCTCACATCCTCTACGTACACATCAGCTGTCCTCATATCGCATTCAATAGCATCCCTCCTTCTCTTTTTTGGTCTTCCTCTACCTCTTCTTCCTTCAACATTCATTTCTATAACTGTTCTTACAGCTTCCGATACTTCTCTCCTTATAACATGACCAAACCATCTAAGTCTATTTTCTCTCATCTTATCCACGATTGACGCTACACCTATACTCCCTCTTATATGCTCATTTTTTATCCTATCTTCTCTAGTCACTCTACTCATCCATCTAATCATTCTCATCTCTGCTACACTTATTCTCTGCTCTACTTTCTTATCAACTGGCAAACACTTTGAACCATACATCATAGCTGGTCTCACTACAGTCTTGTAGAATTTACTTTTCAGCCTCATTGGAATTCTTTTATTGCATAAGATACCAGACGCTTCTCTCCACTTCAACCACCCGCACTTAAATCTGTGTCTTACGTCCTCGTCAATACCAACGCTCTTTTGCACAACTGACCCTAAATACTTAAAACTCTCCACCTCTCTAATCACGTCCTCGCCTATTGTCTCTGGTGTCCTTATTTCACCTTACTTGTGTTCTCCTTTATCAAACTCGAACTCTATATACTCTGTCTTACTCCTACTTAATCTTAAACCTTTTTTTAAAGAGCTCATCTCCATAACTCTAGCCTTGGATTAATTTCCTCCCTATTTTCTCCTATTAACACTATATCGTTAGAAAACATCATGCACCACGGCACCTCTTCTTGTATTTCTCTAGTAATTTCATTCATCACTATAGAAAATAAGTAAGAGCTTAAAGCAGAACCCTGATGCACTCCTACTCTTTCCCAAAAAAACTTCTGTTACTCCTCCCACACTCTTTACCCTAGTACAAGTGTAATCATACATATCCTCTATTATATTAATAAACCTTTTCGGGACTCCTTTTCTCATTAATGCCCAATTTAGAACCTCTCTCGATACTCTATCATACGCTTTCTCTAAATTTATAAATACCATACAAAGCTTTTTCTTTTTTTTTCCCCTAAACTTATCTTTTAGTTTACAATTGTGAATAAATAATTAATATATTATCTACTTTTTAGTAATCCATTTTTACTCATATTTGATATAGTAAATATTTAACTTAATCACTAAAAAATTTGAATTTAATTTACATAATTTTAAAAATTATTTATAAAAAAATAAAATTTAAACTCTGTAATGAGGAATTATCAGTTATTTTAGCTTCGATGCAAAGCTGAGGAGGTATTAGTTTATTACTATGATGTGTTTTTTTTTTTTGGTTTTTTACCACTTTTTTTCAGCTCTCGCCGAACCGATTTCTTTCAACAATATGTCAAAAGATCACAAATCGTATCTAGTTGAAGACACTACCCTTAAAAAATTAAAAAATTTCCCTCACTCCCTGCAAAGGGGGAAAATCTCCAAAAAAATTACAAATTTAAAAATCGCTAATTTTTGTTCACTTTTTTTTACTTAAAACTGCCATAACTTTTTCAAAAATGAACAAATCAATATAATTTTTTTTTATAGATATATGAGGTATTTACCTATTATTTGGTATATTTTTTTTATTAATCTGACCCTTTATCGGACTACAGGAAGGATTCAAAATGACAACTTTTTCACAAAAAATTAACTTTTTCAACTTAACTTTTGAAAGTGTTCCGGAAAGTTTAACACTTTTATATAAATCTTAAATTAAAGCTTATGTAATGTATTTTATTATGGAAAAAATAATTTTGGACTTTATTTTGTCTTCACGGTGAAAATGGCTACCAAATGCTATTTTTGTGTGAAAATTCTTGATTTTATTTTTTATATTTTTTACTTTATAATGCTATAACTTTTTGAAAAATGTATGGATCAATACAATTTTTTCATGAGAAGTAGTATTTATATACATTTTTATTTTAATTTATTTAATTTTCGATTTTGTATTTTACATTTTTAACTTTATTATGCTATAACTTTTTGAAAAATGTATGGATCAATACAATTTTTTTATGAAAAGTAGTATTTATATACTACTATATATCTTTATATATCTTTCATTTGACATACTGTTTTTTTAAATCGGACCATTTCCCTATATACGAGGGGGGTTCAAATCTAAAAAATGCATGTAGAAAGTAGAACTTTTTCAACTTAACTTTTGAAAGTGTTTGGGAAAGTCTGACACTTTTATATATATCTTAAATTAAAGCTAATGTAATATACTTTATTATGGAAAAAAAAAATTTCGGACTTTATTTTATCTTCATGGTGAAAATGGCTACCGAATGCTATTTTTGTGTGAAAATTTTCGATTTTGTATTTTCCATTTTTAACTTTATTATGCTATAACTTTTTGAAAAATGTATGAATCATTACAATTTTTTTATGAGAAGTAGTATTTATATAGATCTTTCATTCGACATACTGTTTTTTTAAATCGGACCATTTCCCTAAATACAGGGGGGATTCAAAACATAAAAATGCATATAGAAAGTAGAACTTTTTCAACGTAACTTTTGAAAGTGTTCCGGAAGGTCTGACACTTTTATATATATCTTAAATTAAAGCTAATGTAATATACTTTATAATGGTAAAAAAAAATTTCGGACTTTATTTTATCTTCATGGTGAAAACAGACATTAAACTTAATAAAAAAAATACGATTTTTGTAAAAAAATTCTTTTTTATATTTTTAACTTTATAATGCTATAACTTCTCGAAAGATGTATGGATCAATATAATTCTTTTTTTTGTAGATGCATGATGTCTTTACCTATCATTTGGTATATTTTTTTTATAAATCTGACTTTTTACCTGCCTACAGGGGGGGATTCAAAATGACAACTTTTTCACAAAAAATTGACTTTTTCAACTTAAATTTTGAAAGTGTTCCGGAAAGTCTGACACTTTTATATATATCTTAAATTAAAGCTAATGTAATGTACTTTACTTTACTTTAAAAAACTGTCTAATTTTTGGCATGATTCAATAACATCTTTATTTTTTTTTTTTTTTCGATTGCCTTTTTACAGTACTCACAACCACTTAACTTAATTTTTTTTTGCACTCATTTTTTACACACTTTTTGTTAACTCTGACACTGATAATCAAGAAGTGAGTGCTGGACTTATTTGTAATTTTATCCAAATATTCAGATATTCATTTTATTATTGACATCATTCTTATAATAATCTACTTATCTATATATATAATATATATATATATATGTGGGTACTATTGGTATCTAGATGGCACCACTTTTAGGGTCTGGAGATAGATAGTGGTATCAAGTATATAGAGGGAGATTAAATCAAGTCGTGAGTCGGCTAAGACGTGTCTCTATGTATATTCTTTAGTTTATAAGTGTATTCTGTTTTATATAATATTTTTTGTGTTGTGTGAATATTTTATATAGAGTTTTTCGTGTGTATTTAAATATATGTGTTATTTTTGTTTGTTAACATTTAATAGAGTTTTTGTGTATTAATTTATAAATATATAAATTAAATAATAGTATTGCGTCTTCGCTCTGTTCCTGTAATTGCCTGTTTGCATTTTCCCACATTTTTTGGGGGCCTGTCCGGGATAATCATCGGTCAACAAACGGGAATAGAGATTGGAGAAGATATCTTGTCTACTCAACATCCGGAAAAATTCAAACTATTTGTCGTGTATTATATAAGTGTTGTTAGTGACGAAAATATATAAAACGTTTTTGTAATTGTATTAGTATACGACTCCATTTTGGTTGAGTAAACGCGCAATTTTTCTTTGTTCGTTTTCGCGAGATCTAGTTATTGTTAATCGGTTTCTAACATCAATTTGAATTTGATTAAACTTTTTGATTATATAACAGTTCGAGATGCCTAAAAATAAAAATTTTAATGAAACTATGGACGAAGTTTCTAGACTTCGAGAGGAAGTATTTGCTTTGAGACTTGAGCATAGCAAATCTCATTTAAGCTTTAGAGATGTTGAAGAATCACTGTCAAAGTTTTCTGGTGATGATGCTTATCCAGTTAATCGATGGATTGAAGAAATTGAAGAAATGGCTAGTGTACTACGTTGGTCCGATCCTGAGAAGTTAATTTATGG